TTTTCTGATACCTTCAAACTGCCAGATTCTTTTCGATGTTACTGCAGTGGCGGACCCAGTCTAAAATAACATTTTCTGCTCTTCCGAGCCTCATTCTGGTCTAAAAATAATGCCCCAGGCCCCTCCCCTCGATCCCCCGCTGTACTCTCTAGGTTGGGTCCTGCGGTATACAATATCACTTGTCGTAAAACTTAACGAAGACTTAAATTTCCTTTTATGCTGTGCTATTGATGTTGGAGAGAGGCCGAGTGTGAACCTTTTTACGTCACGGTTTTGAGTACAAGGTCACGAATGTACAAGATGATTCTTAAGTTATAACAACAAATTAACTAATAATAAAGAATAACAATGAATGATAAAAGAGGGTCAATAACGAGATTCTAGTCAACACGCACAATGAAAAGCATTTCCAATAACAAAAAGGAGTTTAGGAAATGTGTGTTACAAGGTTTACTGAGCGAAAGAACTCGCAACATTTCAATGTGAATAAAATCAATAGTGATTGAAAAATTGTTTTTATAAAAATAGAGAAGAAAGCTTTGTAACGAGCTCTAATGTTTGACTAGTTGTTGTCGAAGAGGAAGCACAACGTTCAACAGACTATTCATTTCTACCCCTAATTATCATCCTCGGGCCTTATTCTTTTCTGAAGCTACCCTTCTTGGTGTATGAAGGTTCTACTAAAATTTATTTTTAGCTTACAGGAAACTAAACACCGGTGGTGAATAGGATCTCACGTCACCGTTATATGGGGATAAAAAGAACATACATGCACCAAAGCAACAAATAAACTGAAATATGAACTTTTAAAGAATAATAATTACAATGAATAGTAAAAGAGAGTCAAAAACGAGATTCTACAAACCATGCACAACGAAAAGCTTTTCCCAATATTATGAGAGAGGTTAATGATAATGATTGTCAATGAAGTTTTATCTAAAAATCCCCTGCTCTTAAAAAACAGAATCTAGTCGAAAAATGGTTGTTTAGAAAATAGAGAAGACGCCTCTGTAGGGAGCTTGGACGTGCGAGTAGTTGTTGTCTAAGGAGAAACGACGTTCAAAAGTTTTTTTTTTAATACAAATGAATACACCATTTTTTTAAAAAAAAAAAAACGATTGATGTTTATTTTTCTTAATGATCTTCTTTCATTAATCACTTTTCGTCTTCCTGCAACAAGAACAACAACAAATCCGTTATCAACTTCTCTGCTGTATGATATAGTTTAAAAGGAGTTTTAGTGATCGAAGTATTTAAGTACATTGTGGAACCTCGATTTAACATGCAAGGGGACTGGGGAAATGTGTTAGTTAAGTGGAGGGTTTGCTATATCAGACAGCTCTATATAACGAATGCTTGGGAAATGTTACATCGTAAGCGGAGATGAGGTTATAAGGTGTGTATGACTGTGTATAAATTATAAACACTTGGATAGTTTGCCAGACACAAGTTCACAGATCTTTGATCTCTTTCTCTATCTCTTTGGTATGTTCTAGCCATTTCTAATACTTAATCCCCTGAAGGACATCTGTGAGCAATTATTGATCAAACCTTTTAATTTCTAAGGCTTAATTTCCGGCAAATAAAATGAACTGTTTGTAAAACTTTAACTTCTAATAATTAAATCTTTTGTAATGGTTTAAAATAAACTATTCTCAAAACAGAGAATGCTTTCAGATCATAGCTGTGTAAATCAAACTGAAACAGTGCATGGAACCTTTCGTTTCCTGTTTTTACTCTCACCTTCTGTATAGAATATGTGTGAAAATCTTTGATCATGAATTGGTATATTTCAAAGAGCTACACAATGACCAAGAATACTATTGACCGACAATATACAGAGGGGGTGGAGCTGTATTGTCAACTATTACTAGAAAAGATTTCTTATTTGAGGGAGGTGGTTAATAGAGGGATGGCTTTTATTTGAGGAAATAAAATATTTTGTACCATATTATAATATAACTTTGATTTCCACTTTAAGGTCAAATCCACAGAGCTAAACTTCCAAGGTTTCCATATTTGATATAAATGTATGGTTCAGCTACATGTAAGAAAGACTGGCCAAAAAACTTATGAATTACTCAACTTGTTGAGATCTTAAGTGACATTTATATAACCACAAGTATTTGTTATTTTTGCATTCCCTAATACACTTTGTCTGTCTGCCCCTTCCCAATATTGTTGCATAAACTTCAGAAAAATCCGTACCTTTTTTAGCATACCCAAAAAAATCCCTCAGTGTTTTTGCATCAGCAAATTTTATTATTATCTTCTGGAAAGCTAAAACATGCCAACTTCAACTTTGGTTTTGGTCAAAAACAAAACTATACAAAAACAAATACAAAAAGCTCGCATGACTGTTATAGTGTCTCTCCATCCTATCTTCTGCGACAACTTTACAGGAAGATATTCATTACGGCATCTACAGCATGTCTTGTCCTTAATTTAGCACATTCTTTGCTTGCTATTGTACTGAAACATCCCTATGTGACAGACCTCGTGGCATCAGACTTTTCACCATGTTTTTGTGCAACTGATATGTCAAAAGGTGGACAGACAATTCCCACCAGATATAGAACACATCCATACACACCAAATCGTGTTTCACCAGGCGTGTTACATAGGAGTGTGGTGAAATATAGCAACTCGGGGCAACTCAACTGTATCAAATATAAGACTTGAAAATTAATACACTGTTCATTAGAGATTCAAGCTAAACTGTATCCTTACAAACTGATATCTCAAAAGGTGGACAGACAATGTTATGCTACTAATATTTTCAAGAGAACTTCTTCATACAACCAAAATGGGATCACAACTGACTGGACCTCTTAGCTCTTGCTGGAACTCAACAGCATTGACTCCCGGTTTGAGTTTAGTTTACAAAATCAGTTTTCCTTGCCTTTATTTTTACATAGCAACGTGATCATTTGATAATAGATATATATCAGCGGGTAAACATCTAATTCATAAAATGTTTACTTTGTATACAGTGTTTCCATTGTGGTCTTGATAACTGGCTTGAAAGGCCTTGAATTACGTGACCTATTGAATATTTCTCTCTGGATTAGATGCACGTGGAGTGCCGGTAATTACTTTTCACATAGATTACAATCTCAGAAATATCCCGTAATACCACACAAGCAGTAAATTGCGCTTATGTTATTGTTGATTTGAGCTGATGAAAAATACAATACCCAAAAAAATCCCTGTGTTGTTTTCGCGACCCAAAAAAATCCCGGCGTCTTTCATAGACCCCAAAAAATCCCTTTTGGCCAAAAATAATGTCAGACCAAAAAAATCCTTTGGACCCCCCCCCCCCCCTTCCCGTCATTAAAATATGTGAGTGGGGCCCCTGAGTGGTGAATACAGCTCTTCAACAGATATCTTTCCATCATAATGAAACAATTCTCTTCATCAAATTATCATTAACGTATTGTCTTAACAGTTAAATGACTAGAACGCCAAAGAGCAATGTGATCAAACATTTTTAATTAAAAGCAAAAGAGAAATAGCGAAGAATTACAATTTCTAATCAAATCTTTGCTTATATTTTAGAATAAAATATTCTCGAAACTGAGAATGGTTTGATCTGAGCTGCTTTAAAATCGAACTGCATGAATCACTGCATGAAACTTTTTATTTTGTGTTCTTATCTATGTAAGCAAAATGTGTGAAAGTATCCATCATGAATCTACGTTTTTTAAAGAGTTACACAAACAAGAAAACTATTGACCGACCACGATACATACAGAGCGGCGGTAGCTGTAGTGCCAACTATTGATAGATAAAGTATGAAGGAGTGCTGCCATATATTTATTTGTTATGGTCTAAAGTTCAAGGTTGCTTTTTGATTTCCATAAATGGAAATCGGCTCATCCTCGGTGTAAGAACCTGTTAAACTCACAAGTGACGTAAAACTGAGGAAACAAAGAAGTCAATGCAATAGAACGCAGAAAAACAATAGGTGCGAAACAAAGAAAAAGTTCACAGGTTCTTACACCGAGGTAAACCCTGGAAATCGACAGATTAGACGCCTTACACTACAACATGAAAAATTACTGCAATTTGATTGGCTTAGAGCAGTGGTATTTCACCTTAATTTGAAATACTTACATGTGAAAATTACAAACCTTTTGCAGGTAGTAGTATAAACAAATAACAGCACGATTTGTACGAGATATTTGGCATAAATACAACTCGTTATATTTCAAAATTGTTTCAAATTTGAAATTACGTATAGCAATTTCGAAATATCACTCGTGGTATTTACGCCAAATATCACTACAAATCATGCTAGTACAAAAACAAAACTCTTCATGTCATTTAAATGTCGTGGTAGCTTGCCCTCGATCATGGAAAAAAGAACATGTTCCCTTTTTAACGATGATCAACTCAGTAGTATAATCAATATGTTAGCTTCCTCGTGAATAATACGCTTTTTTCATTCCAGAAAATCTGAGGAAGTATTTAAAAGTTGAACTAGAAATCATATGAGCTTACCCCTAATACATGAAAAGGTGAAAAGGGGTGCCATAACGGAAAACAAACAGAAAGATCTTACCAAATCTTCATCCACTTTGCTGGTTGAGGAAGAAGCACCTTCTTTGCTCTTTTTTATTTTTCGCTCCCCGTTATCTCTAAAATCTCTCTTTACGGGAGAACGTTTTGGCATGGTACAACAGCACCTACAACGACGGTTTGACAACTGACAAGCGATCGACCAAGCGAGCGGCTCGCGAGCGGCAAACAACGCAGCAAGTACGTCATGTAAGGTCACCTATTGACCAATAAAAACGCGGGCTCGAGTATTGGAGGGTCAATTTTTGGCCCTCTATTACAATCTTCCCCATGGTAAAGTACCCCCTTTTTGAACGCTTTTATAGCTCGTTTGTTCAGCGGTTTTTACCCCACCGTTGCCAGGAGAAAGTCAACACAAGGATCGTAGTTCACTTGATCTCAACAACATAGGAGTCCGTTTTACTTTTTCTCGCGGGTTATTCACGCGATTCCGGGAAGAATTTCGTTGTTTAGACATCATTCTAACTTGCTTTGTTACCAGGTGCGTTTGATGTTGCCCGGAAATGCCTCAGATGTGGTAGATCGTTTAAGTGAAAAAGCGCAGAGAAGCAAGAGCTGAAGAAGCAGTCCCAGGTCTTGGACTGTTTTAATTCACATTTTCTTCTTTCCTTTGTTAGATCGGCGACATTTAGTATCAAAAATGGTGTCTGCGGTGGCAAATGGCTATGAACATTCGGTAAGGTGGCGCATTGGTTTATTTCACATAAATTTAGGGAAAATTTTGAATTGCGCGAAAATTGCAAAATTTAAACGCAGAATCATTATATTTATTTCATGCTAACAACATTGTATTTGAAGCACTAAAATTATTGCCGTCTGCCTTGCTATAGGTGCCTCTAATCATGGACAGGTGTTTTTGCACAACAAGGTTTTTGATTCAGGCCTTCTAAAAGATAAAATAATTTCCAAATATGGTTCAATTTATCAAACCTTTGATTGACCAGTTAACACAATATTGTTGTTGTTTGATACCAGATAAATTTATGTTTATTATTGTTTTAAAATGCAACTATCCTACCAACAAAAAGAACCGAGAGGGTTGGCATCCGGCAGTTGGGCTTTTTGATCCCAAAGCATTATTGTGCCATTTGCATAATTGTTTATTTCTTTCAAATAATTTAGAACTAGAGCAGTTCTAAAATAATGTATTTCCACTGTAAACATTTACCAGCTATTTTGCTGCATGTGTACATGTATATTCATACTGTGTGTAAAGCTTCATGTTGGTATGATCCCATATTTACACCGTTTTTTCTTTTTTCAGTCCTTTGCCAGTCCTGTTGCTCTTAAAGAAGTTGAAGACAAAATAAGAAAAGCTGTACATGCCAGAAATGTGAGATTAACAGAGTACTTCAAGGATTTTGATAGACTTAGAACTGGTTTTATAACAAGTAAGTTATTTAAGTCTCTGTGAAAATGATGTAACAAGGTATTTTTGCAAGTACATTACATTGAAGGGCAAATTTCCTGATAAAAATTAAACACTCTGGTATTTGAGGCCTCCCCCACCCCCTATCATTTCTTGAAGTTTAGGAATCTCACTGGTGGCATTTCTTTTTAAACCTGATTTTCATGTGTTGGGAAATTCCCACTGATCATAAGGGATTTCTTTGCTTCCTTTCACTGATTTTGCAAGAGTTTTTTAAATGAAAACACAAAATTTACCTCAAATAAACGTACCCCTAATCACCTGTGTTGGTCAGGGAAAAACTGGGAAAAGCAAGAGGTAATCATGGCTTAGATGAAAGTGAAATCATACATGTACAAAAAAAGTCAACTCCCAATAATTCAAACCTTCAAGGGAAATAGAAAAAAGTGAGAGTTGTCTGGAGTTCGAGTTATCAAAGGTTAAAATTATATAGAAAACGACCATGGAAGGGAAATGAAAATTGCTTGGAGTTAGCGGCAGGTTCGAGTTATAGAGGCGAGGGTTTGAGTTACTGGGAGGCGACTTTACTTCTGTAGTAGAAGGCAATCATTCTGAGAACTCACTTTTCTTTGATTGGTACCCCCAAAATGACAATAAATACCATTTTATTTTATAATGAGAACACACAATCCCTTAAGTGCGTCATGTAATGATTGCATCACTTTTTTTTCTCATTTCTTTGTTTCAGAGACTCAGTTTGACCGTTGTTTAGATCAGTTATTTGGAATTGTGCTGAGCCCCGAGGATGATGCAAAATTGATGGAAAAATATGGTAGTCCTGACCCAAAACGTCGAGGAATGGTCAGCTACAGAAAATTCTGTGAGGTGATTGGTGCAGGTACTATCATATGATAATTTATTTTCTAATCTTTTTTGACCACTATTAATTAACACATAAGTTTAGTAGTGTTGCTTAAATAAGACAGAATATATATTGAGTTTTTTTTGTTGTCGTCAAGGTGGTCAGGGTAAAGTCAGTAAATTTTATTTTCTGGTTACATCAAGATCAGGACGATCGATTATGAATAATTAAATTTTCAGAAATCCTTTTTAAATTAATGGCCAATAAAATCTGGTACTCTAGATACATGTACTTGTGAATTTTCCAAATCCCATGAATTTGAGTAAAGAGTTAAAAAAATAGACTAACAATAATGTATTGACGATAAATTGCGCTACCTGCTGATAACATTGCCAATGGTTAAATAAATAGAATGGCATGAATCTGTCATTAACGAGAACTTCATTACTTTTTTACTTACAGTTTTTAATCCTGACATTCTTGGTCAGGATCCAGCAACACAGAAGATCGGTCCTGATGCCAGGTAAAATTTTTTCACAACCCGAGTGTGTCAGTTTGTTCTTTTTAATTATGTGCTTTTCAGCTATTCGATCTTTTGCCTGGTGCAAAGGAACATTCATGATTTCTGCTTTGTTGTAGCAATAATACGGTGAATCGCCGTCCTTTAAGTCCAGCGTCTCTTTCAAAGTGTGAAAATTTGTTGATGAGACTGGCTCAGTTCTACAAATACCATGGAATCAACATCAAAACTTGTTATGCTGACTTTGATAAACATCACATTGGTGTTGTGACAGAAAGCCAGGTAGGTACAAATAATTATCAGTTTGTAGACCCAGCACTCAAAATTCAGAATCCTTTAACAGTGTCTTTCTTTCTTTTACAGTTTTACAGAAGTTTTCCTGGTTCACCAGATGTGACAGCTGAAGAGACAGTTTTATTGGCAAAGAAGTACCGTGACCACACCCGGCCTGGGCTTTGTAACTACTACAGTTTCCATGAAGACATTGAAAGAAAGCAAAATGGTAAAAATATGGACCTTTTTTCTAACTTCACATTCACAGCCCTTTTAATATTACTGTCTTGCCAACCAGGATGGGAAGGGGTGTACTCCCTGTCTTATAATGGCCTCCTAGTGATTTCGTTACAAATATTTATGGTGAGTCCTGGGACTCATCTTCAAATCGATCGATCATTCTTTGCGTCCAATGGGATGCACGTCATGAATTATTTTGCGTCTTTTAGAGATTTTTATGGCTCAGGAACACAGGACACAGAGGTAACAAAATTACTGTCTTTGCTCAAAAGGCGTTCCAATTTCAGGCTGAAGGCCTATTTGAGGGTATGGGTTTCACAAGTTGAAGTAGATTGTATATGAAAGGGTAGAGGAATTTGTCATTTCGGTCTGTAAAAGGACCTAATGCATCAGTCAATTCCACCGGCGCCCGGGCATTTGCCAACCCCCGGGCCAATCCCGAGCTTTTGACACGCACGTGGTTTCCTATCAGAATATAAGGTTTTACTGGAAGAAAAGCAGATTGGCTCATTTGTCAAGGACAGAAATAAATTGTAGAGGGTTGTAAAGGCATGTTCTCGATTTTAAATGTATGTATGCATTTCTTCATTGCTTATCAAGCCAGAATTACGTAGGGAAATTGGAGCTAACGATGTGAATCAACGTTTTTTGGTTATTGAATCAAATTGCTGTTGATATTATTATTTTGAAGAACATCCTCTCATATTTATAAAACTATTCATAACATATAACTTTACAGCGCTCTATTAATTTTAATGTCAATAATTTTATACCAATACTAAAACCATATTAAAACTGGTGCATGTCGTCGCGGCGTGAGGTCTTAATTAGAATCCTCGCGCTATTACAAACGAAGACGTTAATTAAACCAAAAAAATCGCACATTAAAATGCTTAAAACGGCCCTATTTGACTGTACGATCAATGAAAAATGTTGCAGTGTTGACGGAGGACGGGGCATTTGCCCTCTTTTTTCGTCCCCACCCCGGGGAATTTGACAGCTCAAGAGTCCCCACCCCCGGGAATTTGCCATCCAAGGCAAAAAAAATGCTAATGCCCGGGGGTCAGCCCGGGGGGGGGGCCTGGGCGCAGGTGGAATTGACTGATGCATAACAGGGCTAACAGGCACAATCTATAGGCCTGTCAATCTGACAAGAAAACTTTCCGAGTTAGTAATTTATTCATATTTAAAAGACGGTGCATTTACAGCGGTTTAAGAGGATGTAGCGTTGTAAATTAGTATTTTAAAGGGGTACTATTTGTCAATACGAAAGGGGTCCCTTTTTCCCAATAAACAAGCGTGTCCCCACTTGCTTCGCTATTAATTCGTTGCTCCTCTTCCAGTTTGCGTTGTGCGGAAAATAGCCCGCGTAGCTTGCGGTTTTGTCGATGGATGAATTCAAGGGAAGACTACAATTATAATGGCTCTTGTAATTTGTAGCACCCGGGGGGGGACTCCGCATATGAATTAAACACCTAAAAGAGACCATGTTAAAACACAGACAAATGAGAAAACTTGGATTATATGAATGGAGTAAATAAAGCGCATTAAAAAGATACATATGAAATATTATATTTTTATGTTTTTTTCGCGTGCAACCCTAAACGAGACCTTCACGGCTAAATATGATGGCGTTTTGCCCAGAACACCCTAAGTGAGACCAAAATCCGAAAGTTACACCCCCCTAAGTGAGACGACGAGCATCCCCACCCCTTTCATATGCGGAGTCCTCCCACCCCCCGGGGTTACGTCCATACAAAATTGATGTAAAAGGCCGTTTACACGAAACGAAATTAAAATATGAAATTTCCTGAAGTTTACACCAGAAAAAAGAAATTGAAGATGAAGACAGAAACTGACTTCATGAAGGTCGCGGTGGACACCTAGCCATGAAGAGAGTCATGAGGCAAAATTTTGCTCGTTCTACTTCTGTTAAAGCGCTTAGATCTCGCCTGTTTTAGAGACAATTGAGCTCAAATTGTACAGAGCCATTACGAAATGATGAACGTTTATGAGTTTAGTCTTTTACTTGGTAGGTTGCGCTTTACGGTGACGAAATAAACCCTACTAGTGCCAAATTATGAGGACAATGATTCTGTATCCACGTGAACGATTGCGAATCGAATAGGAGACAACAATTTTTTTTATCAATAATCAGCGCTTTCATGACAGAAGCCGAGTTTTCAATTTAAAGTTTGCCAGCAAGTTATTATCGTTTATAACCGTGAACAAGTTTGTCATCCCTAAATGTAGTGCCTCTATGTTTTCCTTCCTTAAAGCGCTCTCTTAGAATTCCGCAGGCCTATGACATGACACACTATATATGTAGTACGCCTAGTTTACCTTTCTGCGCGGGGCCAGCTCATGAAGGTTTTTATATTTGCTCCAAATTCTTGTACTCAAAATTTTTCGGAAAGACCAAGTTTGCGGGAAGTCCGACTGAAACGCGATGAAAATTGTGGTAATTAAATTTAAAATCGGTAAAAGACAACGGGTTAAAACAGTAAACAAGTATTTCCAAAGATTTCCGATATAAAGGAACTTTGATTTTTTTTAACAAGGACAATTAGTTGAAAACAGTTTTCTGTTTTCAACATAGCCTGTGTACACAGGTGATTTTCAATATTTTTAGATAAGAATTGCCATTTTGTCTCTCTGCATTTGATAACGTGCGAGTTTTTGTTAGACATTTTTATTTATTCACTTGCTGTCGTAGTACACAAGTGAGGTATTTCACACCATATTCATGAATATCTCGCACACTTGGCAAGTGTACATGCGTGCATACCACTCGCACTCGTGCAGTGATGATCGGACATTGACATTACCATCAAACCGATTCCACGTGCGGGATTGAAGTCAGACGAGTAACAAATCACGGCCACAGGGTTGTCCCGGTGTCACAGTGATATGTGTATCCCCGTGATATGTGTATCCCCATACACATATCCCTAGTGATATGTGTATCCCGGGTGGGGATACAGTAAACACTGATGCTCATCCACGAAACAATAAGGAAATATCTTCTCTTGCTGAAGGAAATGTCGTCGATATCATCTAACATAACTAGTAACACAACTAGGGTTAAGACAGGAGTCAAACAACATGCAAAGGTGGAATATTGTGGCGCTCGTAGAAGGATACACATATCACTGACCCGGCGCAGCGATATGTGTATCCCCTGTTTTTCTTCTCTTGCTAAAGGAAATATCGTCCATATAATCTATCAGAACAACTAGTAATACAACTAGGTTTACAGGAATCAAACAGCTTAAAAGGTGGATTATTATGGTGCTTGCACTGGGGGATGCACATATCACTGGACCAGCGCAGAGATATGTGTATCCCCTCTCTATTTTTTGACTTTTCGAGTTATCCCTTGCTGAATGAAATTTTGTCAGTCATACTTATTTAATGCGACTAGTGACATATGAATTATAATCACGTTGGATAAGGAGAGGAGCGAGAACGAATGTTTACATCAACATTGAGGCCCACGAAGAAGTAAACTCGCCAGAGACAGCTTTGCGATTATTTCGTCTCGAATCGTTGCTCTTTTGTCGATTGTGTTGCTCGTAATCTTGAATCATTTGTAGTCCCTTTGACGATGATTCGCAAAATTCACAAAAACAACAGAAATAAAACCGACACTTGTTTGGAGGGGTGGGGGGTAGGGGATACACATTTCACTGGCAGCCATATTGGAGGGATACACATATCGCTAGGGATATGTGTACGGGGATACACATATCACGGGGATATACATATCACTGTGACACCGGGTCTAGGCAAATGCCTAGCTCTTGTGTGTAGTATCAAAAGATTACCCCCCCCCCCCTTCCCGCGCGTCTAAAACGCGACCAGATCCCCCACAATTCTCGGTGGAAGGGTACGAGTGGGATTGGCTGATGTATTACACTTTCGTTTTGGGGTTGCAGCTCTTGTCGCACGATGCCCTGCGAGCAGAGGCCACATTTTCGCTGTGTGAGCTGGCGTGCGAAAAGTAGCCTCTGCCGACAACCGTTCAATTTGTATCGTGCATGCGCGAAATTCGTTACGCGATTCGCAAGCAAAATTAATCGTCAGGTCTGTCGTCAAATGGCGCGAGTTTCGCGGGAATAAAAAAATTGCGTTAACTAGCTTTAACTCTGATCTACCACTTCGGAAGTACTTTCACATGGTACTATTTATTTAGTATGTAGTTGTAACGTTTGAGTCGGTGGACGAATTCCTGTGGTGTCACCATTTAAATGAAACCACTTCGATTCGGAAGTACTTCAGACTGAAATATGAAATGTTTCTCCTTTTTTAGATTTAGCAGAACAGGAAGACTTCACAAAGTACATTCCGATACAGGACTTTATTGATGACAATAGACGGGTAAGAGATCGAGCAAAGTACCAGGGATGTTATCTTGGCGTCTTAGTCTGAAAAAAAAAATCAGCCCTAGCCTGCGTGGCAGGCGTTCGAAAGTCGAGAGGAAATGAATTTGGAGACCTTTCCTTTCAAACCGGTGCTACCAGGCTAACACAGCGCGGAAGTAGATCTTTTTAGGGCTTTGACAAGTTAACTTGTACTACAAGAATGAAATGAAAGCTTTTAAAACTTGTCGTGTTCACCAGAAGAGTTCCTTCAGGCGAAACAATAAACTTTGGCACGTTGCTATTTATAGTATCAAAAGGTTTTATAACATTTTTCACACCCTTTTCATGTTGTCAAAGTTGATTTTACCAAACACAGTTTAAAGGAGCTGTGTCATGAATTTGATCAAAATTCAAAAAGTAGGAACTGCTACCAAATCGAGTGAAACATAAAAATAATCGCTAAAAACGTTACAAGAAGGTTTTAATAACACGGTAAATATAAATTGAAGCACGGATGGACAAACTTGAAGAAGATTAAGACGGATTGTAATTGCGGGTTTTTGAAAACTTGCAAATTAAATTAACAGTTTTTCAAGTTCATTTTTGTTGTTTTCAACGTTTGATATGATGCTATGGAGACCTATTTGTTTGACAAAAGGCTCTGATTTTGTCCTTTACAACTCTCTCCTCCGCAGAGTCCTCTTTGTATCGTAGGGAGGACTGGAGAGAGGGAAAAAGAAATCGCGAGGGGGACAATGGGAAGGGCAAAGAGAAGAAGCCCATTTCGGTCTTTTCGCTCTTCCCATCGTTCCCCGCGCGCTTTCTATTTTTCGATTAGTGCTATTTTTATTGGGATGCCTAGCGGGAGCCTCTGCGGAGGAGAAAGCCTTTACAAGTAATTTCTTCGGTAACGTTAAGCTGAAAAGCGCTTAAGGCAGCATAATTGCTACTAACTATGAACAAAATGAAATAGACATCCATGACAAAGCCCCCCTACATTGAAAAATAACTGAGATGTTATACGCTTTCTAATCGATGGAAAATACAATGAACACCTTGAAAAAGTATAACTAATGCACGTCTTTTTCTCTTTCTTTTCATTTGTTTCACATTTTTTAGCGCCCTGGAACACCGACCTTGCACGAAATATTTGAGAAGATCAGATTAGCTATCCACAAGCACGGAATACGAACCACTGAATTTTTTAAGGACCACGACAAGTTAAGGAGTGGAGAAATCACAGAAAATCAGGTACAGGGTTGGTGGCCTCGCTCCCACAAAAGTAGCCTCGTTCTTATGTAATCATCTGACTCGTCCCTAGTCGTCTTCGCGTGACGCGCGTTCCTTCCCATCACACCTCTCGCGCCACTAAGGAGAGACGCAGAGAGAGACGACTGGGGACGTTTCAGTATAATCATCGCTTCGCGCAAAACGAAGGCCTTGGAAAAACGCATGTAGTGAACCGATGTTCAGTTCAAAGTCCCGATGACTTTATGGTCTTGGGAAGTTATCTCATGTCTGTATTAAACACACATGACAAAGTTAGTTTTCCTGTCTCTTTATAAACAAGGAGATAAGGCTCTTGGGTGGACTTGATCCATGGCTGCCTAAACAATTCAAATGTTGGGAAATTTTCGTAAATTTGACATACTGAGCAAGTTGGAACATTTGTGGTGAACCTAAAAAGAACTTTAGTTAATCATCAGTGACATTGTCAATGCCGTTTGCAGTCGTATTCGTCTGCGTCTGTTCGAACGCGAACATCAAAGAAAGATTTGTCAGTTCTCTTATTAAACTCGGACACGGCCCCTCAGAATTCATATATTAGAAAGTTACTGCACCTTTGTCAATGTGAGCGACTTTGAAGTTTAGGAGCGATGAAGTTTAGGAGCGCATAAATTCATGAACTTTCTTTGCTATGATTCACTGCTGTCGTCTGAATGCATTCCTTAGAAACGTTCTCGTTGCCGCCGTGGTCTTGGTTGCTTAAGTTCGCTATTGTTGAGGGTCAAGGTAGATTGTTTTGTTTTGTTTTGGTTCCTTGCAGTTTATTTGCGGCCTGAGTCTTTGCTGTGGTACTCAAGCGCATTTGTCTCGTGACGAGATACAGAAGGTTGTTGACGTGTATCGCCAGCCCGATGGCCGAGTGAGATACAAAGAGTTCTGTGATATAATGGAGAATGGTTAGTTGTCTCAAGTACTACATGTACCACGTTATCTGTAAACAGATCAAATTTCCCCCCCTTTTTTCATTCATGAGTAAAAATCACATTATCCGGGGGCGTAATGGCCTTGAAAAAAACGAGAAACAAGGAACTTTGTTTACGTAGACCAAACAATTGCTACATTTGTTTGTCATTCAATTAGAGATAACTCTGAGAGCGAGGTTGCAAAGCTGACAGTTTTGTTGGATAGGGGCAGCGGAGGTGAGCGTAAGCAAGTGGCGAAGCCGCGAGGAGAATGGGACGAAAATAATTATTATTAATTATTGTTATTATAATTATTATTTTGCAATGTATTGACCAAATATTCAACAATATGGAGTTTAATCATAAACTGCTCTTTTTCTCGTTTCTCAGCATTCACAGTGCCAGATCTTGAGAAAAAGCCAACTGCTGACGTTTACAGACCTCCCACTGGTGCACTGACAAAGGTACTTGAATTGCTTTGAGCAAACTAAAGTAGACATCAGGTTACTGCGTAGTGTGCCCTTAACATTCTGTGTGTTGTTTCTCTTTTTCCATGTGACGTCACAGTGGAATAATAAGGTTTTGTTTTTTCTTCAATTACTCATTAATATTTAGTGGGTATATTTAACAATTATTCCACGAGTGCGTGTTGGATATGAGTTCGCTATAATCATCTCATATCCAAGAAGCGCCAGTGGAATAATTGTTTTATTAAAAACGCCCACAAAATATCGAGAATTCTTCCCGACTTTATTTGTAAAAACAACCGATTTTTAACTGGTTTTTAATTTTGAACAGACGAACACAGTACAATATTTGGAGAGCATGGTAAAATGGCCTCTATACCATGATGGCTAAGCGAATCAAAGCTCTAGAATTGCATTATCCAATGATTCAGATTTTAATAATATTAATAGCCTGCGTCGCGGACAGTCTAAATCCCCAATATAGACCACATCGAGTGCTCTATCTTGCCTGGTCCCGAGGCCCCATTATTATGCGCGGCCGATGCGTTTCGGGTCACGTGGTCCGAGAAAGTTTTTTTTCCCCCGGCCGTTCGTCTCGGATACGTCACCGAAATGCTTTGACCGAGAGGGCTGGAAAGACGCCGTACAGGGACTAGGCAATGCTCTATCTAGGTCTCGCGTGACAATTTCCGCTGGAAAGCAGGATAATTATCCAATTGACTTCATGAATATAAACACGTGTAAGGACACAGCAAACTGAAAAGTCAGGAGAGGCTGTTATGTTTTGAGTTGCTACATTTCGCGCGTTAAAACGTTGTTACATTTTGGGTCATTAGAGTTGTTACATTTCTGGTCAATATTACGTTTTGCGTCAAAAGTTTTTTTATGTTACATTTTGCAGCGTAAGAGAAATGTACTGTTTAGCGCTACCGAAATGAAATATTTCAGGGACGTTTTTGAAGCTGTTTAAAACACTCAGCACACTTTTCAACCAGTGATAAAACATTGTTGTTGATGTATAAACATTACTCAATAATATTAATGTTGTCTAGATCGATATTCAGTTCATCACTAATTTGCACTTCGATTAGGTGCAATCTATGGCATTCTTCTTTCCACAGTCAATCCAAAATCTATATTTAATACTGTTTATTTTATTGATTTTACAGGCACCCAATCTGCTTTCTCCGGCGGAAGAACAAAGAGTTAATGAAGTACTGAAGGGGTTTGCAGAGACCGTCCGTAAGCGAAGGCTTATGGCTTATCCTTATTTCAAAGACTTCGACAGGGTATGTATTTTACCCTTTGATCTATCAGGAAACTACATGGCAGGCGTCGAAAGCGTTAGGGTGCGGAGGGATGAAATTCGGACAAATCTTGTAGCTAAAATACGGTATCCGTAACAGCTATGGTATTCAAGTGAACGATGAACCTATCCTGCGAATACAGCCGTCGCTCCTCGCCGCTGAAACGTCTCTAGCCGCGAGGAACAAGGAGAGAAGGCTGTATTCGCGGACTGAAAAATCATGTAAGCAGGACACTGTAGCAAAAAACAGTTAGAGATTAAAGGTATCGCTAGTTTTGATGCGACTTCAATTTTTTTTCCCACATTTTAGAGTAAAGGATACACTCGTGGTGTCACTAAAACTCAGTTCGCGAGAATGCTTCACTTCCTGTCCATCCACGTACAGCCACAAGATTTAGCTGTAAGTATTCACCTGTTTGCTACCTTCAAACAGTCAATCGATCTTGGGTCGTTCCATCAATTCCACAACAAAGCTCACGTTCCATCCCGTCGACGAAGGCAACTGCCCTTCTTTTGCATCTGTGTCACAGAAAAGGACAATTGATTAGTGAGGGTTCTTCAATCCCGTCTTGCCGACCAAAGTTTTCGCTCAAACTCGTAATACCGCTTTCCCGTGCATACTTTCAAACCCGAATCTCATCACCATTTTTCTTTAAAATCCCGAATTCTTGCCTTCAAATAAAGGCAAATCCCGCATCCCGAAACCGATTGGGGACCCTAACAAGTGTGGATCATCTCAGACAGGCTTTTTCTCTCTTGTAACGGTAAAAGAAAACTTCAAAACACCTTGTTGCATTATGGTTTAGTGAGGTAAATTTATATGAAGTATCTGATAGTTGCCAAATCTTTTGTTGACATAGTAGAAGAGGGTTGAAAGTTGGCCCAAAGTTTTAAGTCACCATTTTTCATTCAAGTTCTCTAGGAAGAGACAGACGTTTACAAACAGGTTTATCTGCAACTGTTCTGGCAGTAAATCAGTAATACGTCGTTTGTTTCTTTTCTTTTTTTCTCAAAGCTCCTTTGCAAGAAATTTGAATATCCCGTAGGAGGTGACATAAACTATTCCGCCTTTATTCAGGCTATCGATTCAGGTATGTTTTATTTTTAAAAAATACAGTCGTCTCGTATTATAAAAGTGTGAGTCTTTGTGTAGTTATTCGCGCTCGTGCGCAAATTATTAGATAGGAAACGAATGCTAGGCAAGCGATTTTTTATTCGTCTACTCAGTTACCCACTCAGTTCCACCAGTAACAATATTTCAATTTTTTCTCCATCTTTAGAATACACTGGAACAGCAACAACCATTTCTGACTTTGCGCAAAAAGACAAGTAAGAAAACATCTCACGTTTGAATCTACAAATCGATACAAATAGCCGTTGATTGCGACGCAACAGTTGCGTTACGATCATTGATGTTAAGATTTTCTTTGATTTTATCAGTTTCAATTGCACTCTTGTAAACAGAAATTTCTTTTGTCTCTAGATCTTCAGGTGAGAGTGAAGAGCCGCGCCCACTGGATCTCAGCTCGGTTGACAGACAGGAGCTGATTGATCGCATTAAACATTACGTGCTGGTCAACAGATTAAGGGTAAGTAAAGGTGATGTTACACGGGACGATTCGCAACGACGATTTTCGGCGCAACACAGCGTTACAACATTGATGCAACATTGTTTCGAATATCTGCAACATTGTTCCAACACTGCAACGCTCATGTTAAGACCTCCTTGGCGGTTACGTAGTTATTCCTTTTATTTGGAGCTGGCCGTGCGGGCTCCCTGTTAAAATCTTTACCCTCTGTAGAGCTGAGCCTCCCCACCCCACCCACCGTTCCTCTTCCGTCTTTCTGCGTTGGTGTTTGACTATAGCTTCAACTGATTGAGTGGAAATCAGGCGTTGATTGGCTACCCGAGCTGCAAGATAGGCCTCTACAGAATTCCTGATTTATTCAGGCACGATCATGTATTGACGGAGCTTATTAGATCAAGATAGCAAGACATTGGCCCCGCTCTCCAGCCACCCTGACCTCACACTTTACAGCACACTAATCTTTGGGTCTCCTGTGGTTCGTTGGGTGTCCTGTCGCTATATAGGCGTTTAAATGTCCATTTTTGTGACAGAGTAATTTTAATCAGAAATGGCCAGCGGTATCATTATAACTTGATTTACAATCGTAACACAGCTATTGCATCATTCTAAATGCGCTAAGTCTCGCATATTGTGGCCCGCGCAAACATCTTCAAGTTATTTTCGTGTGACCCAAAACGAGCCTATTAAGACCCAAATCACAAAGAAGTAGAACTCGTGATTGTAGGACACCCTGTTAGTACATTATCCCATAACTGTTAATTCGGCCAATAAAAGGGTCTGTAATTAGCAAAATCTGTATGCCAGTTCGTCGAATCTCAGATGATTTTTTACTGCCCAGCATCTGCTCGTAGCATCATAACGCGTGTTTCTTTCTTGATATCAGAGAGACTAAGCGTCGCGTTTACAGCAAAGGGCAAACGTGAGATTCAAGCTGAGAAATTTTCAAAATGAGAAATGAGCAGATAAAAACAGCTGAAAATAATTCTTATGTATAGAATTAGCGTAAATCTACCGATTTTCGTGGAGTTATAATGAACAGTAAACGACAAGTAAATGTAAAACTTGGTCCGGGGTACAAATTCACGTTTGCCGTTTGCCGTAAACGCTATAGCCGTAATAGAGAGTTTAAGCTTCACGTATACGGCAAACGTCAGATTCAAGTTAAGAATTTCTCAAAATAGGAAATGAGCAGATAAAAACAGCTCAGAATAATTCTCATGGATAAAAAATTGTGTGAAAACTACTAATTTATGGGTAGAAATATTGAACAGTAGACGACAAGTTATGGGGAAACTTGGTCACGTGGAACAAATTCGCGTTTGACCTAAACGAGATGATTAACCTCTCTAAACTCTCTATTATGACTCCAGGTTGAGGAATATTTTCAAGATTTCGACCCTCTTCGTCATGGTTCCATTAGTCGCAGTCAGTTCCGGCGATGCTTAAGCTCCATGGGTCAACCGAATTTGACAGATGAACAGTTTGAAGTACTGGCCCAGTACTACAAAGATCCAAAGATTCCCGGTAACATTATGTGGACTAGATTCCTGACTGATACTGAAATGGGTGAGTAACACTTTATGCTGGCAACCTTACTGGATCATTATACGTCTCTGGAAAACTGCCCACCTACCCCTTCCCTAAGCCAACATTTTGCCCTAAGCGAGAAGTAAGTGTTAATGTTGGGTCAAGGGAAGGGGTAGGTGGGCCCGCTTTGCTCTTGAAGGAGCTGCGTCGCGAAATTTATCCAAATTCAAACAGTGAGAGCTGCCACTAAATTGAGTGAAACGTAAAAATAACCACTCAAAACATTAAAAGAAGGTATAGATAACACAGCAAACACAAAAGAAGGCATGGATGGACAAACTTGAAGAAGATTGAAACGGATTAGAACTGTGGTTTTCGAAAACTTGTTATCCAAACAGTTTTTCAAAGTTCATTTTTTTTGTAGCGTTACCAAATATAATGCTTCGGAGACATCAATCTGCTACACAGCCGTTTTTAGTGTCGTCACGCAACGCTGTGTGGAGGAGCGTTGCGTGATGACACCGAAAACGGCTGTGTAGCAGACTAAGGAGACATTGGTTGACTCGGAGTAATGGTTTAGTAAGTCACAAGTGATTTCTCAAGTTCCTTTTCGAACAAGGACACGTAATTAGCATTTTGTTATACATTGTACTCACTATCTGTCTTCTCATTGGCTAAGAGTCTACAGCTAATTTTGGAAATCAGGGCAACCTACAGATTAATTAGTTTTCTACTGGCAGATAACTGACTTATCTGTAGGTTGCACGCGCAATGCATGATTTCCAATAACAATATAAATTTAGGCTCCTTGCGACGATGTGTTTATCGTTATTTTCTTCAAAACAATGTATTAAAAAAACAATTATAAATAATCAAGGTCTCGGTAAGTGTTATCAGCCTCCGCCTCCGACGCGGCTGTTTACACTTTCTCGACCTTGATTATTCCGGATATCCCAAAAACCTCATCCAATAATTGTTTATTATCAACAAAGTGAACCAGACAGCCATGACAGTCAGCCCTTGGTGAAAATTGGGCGGAATTCGCTCCTAGTTAGGCCCTTAAGTTTTCGAACCATCAAGCTAATCTCTAACCATAGCTGATTTCTTTGCTCATTGTACAATGAATTTTATCCCTCAATATTTCGAACTTCTGTTCTTTTGAACCTATTTTTGCTTCCGTCGACGGGGAGCCACAGGGGAAGTGGAGGTGAAATTCAAGTTCCAGACAGAGACGTAGTGGCAAGCTCTCCTTCCTTTTCCCACCCCGTCGCCAGAGCTCCCCAGAGAGCTTGCTAGCAGGCTAGAGGGATCGCATTGCATTTTACATTTAGACAAATCTGATTCCAAAACTGAAACTCTCATATTGAAGACCAAGTCTGGCAAGTGGATGGAGCCAAGATCTAACTAATGCTAACACTTTCTTTACGCAGTATTTACACGCCGTGGACTTGAGAAGGCTCCAACATACGAAGTACCCTCCATGGAGACCTTCCAAATGAGTAGACCTGGGGCGGGCTCAGATCGCCTTTCCATGGAAGACGAGGAGTTCCTGCAAAGAATCACACAGCGCATGCGCCGAAAGCTGATTGAACAGCGGATTCTATCTAAGCCTTGCTTTCAAGATTTTGACAAGTGAGTCGTAACAATTTAAGCGAAAAATAGATCACGTTTTGATTACCACGAAAATGAAATTGATTGCAATTTGAACGAAAGATGTGGCCATCTAGTTTCATGTGATTTTTTTTGAAGACGTTATTGTAGGTTGAACACAGATGAGCTTACTGTGATTTTACGCTTTGAAACCTTGCAAAATACTAGTTACTTTTTGCTACCTATACAGGCATAATAACGGTCACGTAACCAAGATCCAAGCCAGTCAATGTCTACACACGCTTGGCCTGACAGATGATCCAGAGGAGATAAAGGTAACGAAACAAAATTAACGATGGGACCTGCCCCTCCCCCCTCCCCCTAAGAAAAAGTGGTGCGTTATCATATTCGATTTACAATTATTGTAAACTTGGCAAATTTACCCACTACTGTTCAATTGCTTGTATGCGAATCACGCATCACACTTAAGAATTCCATGATCAGACTTGAAGATATCATTTCATACAGAGTATGAAAGTAGTAAGTTATAAGAGCCTTTTACATTGCAAGAAAGACTGCCACGAGGAAGTATTGCTTGGTAGCTTTCATTTGAATTCTCAGGTTTTAGGATTTCATGCGCGGAGCAGATTCAAGCTGCTGATCGCGTCTGTCATCCCAGTGACGTAGGTGTTTTATATGCCATTTTTTCATCGTTTTGTTATTTTTTGTTGTGCAGATCTTACAGTCCCGCTACTCAGATGATATCGGCTTTAATTACATTCAGTTTCTGGAAGATCTTCAGGTAAGAGGAAGTAACATATTTTGACGCGTTGTCTAGCAATCATTAGAGATGTGTAGCACAATTTGAAACTGCATTCTCAAGTTCCATAAAGCATTTATCTTAAATTACATGCAAAAATTAGCGACATTAACACCTTAGATTTGTGCAACCAAAAATGTTCAAATTATAGTCTTTTGCAATAACCAGAGTTGTAGTGAGCTATAAGACAAACTTTGTTAAGGCGGCTCGATGGGGTTTTTTCATGGTCAATACCTCCGAAATTTGAGCATAAACTACGTCGCCATTAACAAAGATTTGGAAAAATTACCACCACAGCTGTATTAGATAAAGATGAAAATTTGTTATGATCAGGGTTACAATGGCATCGGAGTTGTCATAGCAACAAAATAACGTCATTACTTATTTTACTTGCAGCTGTATTTCTTGGCACCGGGAGCTATTCTTCCAAAATCGTTCGCGGGAGTTTATTCTTCCAATAGCCGCTTCGTTGTCCGTGAAGTTTAAGCGAAATCCCTGAGAGCGTAATCAAGATATTTTGGGATGAAGTTTTTATGGTCTCAAATACGGTAAAAACTGGGCAATCTATATGTTTGGCCATTATCTGTAGAAAACGAGTGCTTTTAAAATCAACTTTTACTTCATAGTAGTTTCAGTCTCAAGTAAAATAAGTAAGGGAGTCGTTTCATTGCTATGACAATTCCGATGTCTTTGTAACCCTGATCATAACAAATTTTTCTCTTTATCAAATACAGCTGTGGTGGTAATTTTTCCACATCGTTGTAATAGTGACGTAGTTTATGCTCAAACTTGGGAGGTGTTGTCGTTGAAAACCCCCATCGAGCCACCTTAAACTAAACAAATCTACAATGGCCTCGTTGCCATGGCTCCCCTTTCCCTACTCTCCCTATTTTCCGCGTTTTAGTGGAGCCTGCGTGTTAGCTTATGCTTTTAAGGTGATGTTACACGGGACGGGGCGAATTGCAACGACGACCACAGCGTTGGTATGTTGGAACAATATTGTAACCTTTCGAAACAACTTGGTCGCAGCAATGTTGCCACGCTGCATTGCGCAAAAAATCGTCGTTGCGAAATCGTCTCCTGTAACATCACCTTTAGTCTTACATGAGTGGTGAAGTAAAGTCATATATTCTATTCAGTTGTTATACATGTCTATTGTGGCCCTAAAAGTGCCTTTAGTTCCACACGGCTCAAAACACCGAGGGTCTGTTAGACTGCAAAACAGTCCGTATTTTTGCGTATTCAAGTACGCGCGAGCAGTCAAACAAAAGGTCTGGAACGAGGCTGACTACGGGCGTGTGAGGCTCGCGCGCTTCGCGCGCGTAAGACTCTTACGCCACACTTTACCGACTTCTTTACTGATTTTGAGAAAAAAACCGACTGTTTTGCAGTCTAAGGGTCTGTTTACACGGAGGGACTGGGTGCCCGACTGTGAGCTACCCAGAGAGCCAAACTTTCATTTCCTTTGTGGTGCTTTCATGCTAGATGTATAGAGGCACCCTTTTCGAGTTTTCCCGCTTCTTGTCTACGACTCTCTAGTAAGCAAATAACTCGTCCTTGAAATTGTCTTTAGTAGTCAATGGAACATTTCTCTCATTACAGTGATCTCTTTTTCACGTTTTTTTTCCCTATCGGATAGCCGTCAGAGAAACCAGAAATGAAATACCTTCAAAGATTAGAAGAGCTGAAACTCACAAACCAGAAACACCTGCCTGACTTGGGCGACAACAACTTCGAGAAAATCATGTACAAGATTAAATGCAAAGTGATGAAGGAACGAATGAGGCTCAACGAGTTTTTCAAGGATTACGACAAGCTTCGTACTGGCAGAATATTAAAGACGCTCTTCCCAAGAGCCATGGATCTTTCTTCCCTTAAGCTGACAAAAGTTGAGGTGGAACAGCTTATGGAGAGGTGGGTTAAGAGAGCGCATAAGGGAAAGTGACCTCGGTTTGTTTTATTTGTTTGCTTGTTTGTTTGTTTGTTTTTTGTTAATGACCGGTGCAATGGGAACAAGAGTTTTTTTCGTAAATCTTGCAGTTATACCTCAAGCTTGATTACCGATTACCTTAAATTCTCTATAAAGCCCTCCCTCCTCAAATAAGCCCCCCTCTTCAGGGAGAAAGAGAGTTTTCCAATAAATTTGCATAGATGCTGGTCACGTGAGTGAAAACGCTCCATAGGAAGTTATTCCGTAAACCAATCAGAAGTTCAAGGCAAATACATTTTACGACAACGTAACGAGTACAGGAGACCTAGTTTAAACTAACCAAGACAGTGGACGTGTCGGCTTATAAAGGAGGAAATAAAGGTGTTAAAACTTTTCAAAAGAGATTAAATATTGACCGTTACTGTTCACGCTCTCTTTTTCAGATATACCGCATTTGGCTATCCAGACTACGTGACCTACACAGCATTTGTGGAAGAGATTGAGTCTATTTTCACCTTAAATAGTACGTAACAGTTTGCTTTAATATTGTCCTAAGCTATTTCTACACGTAAGGCTATCTGGTATTCTTGGTTTGCAACCACGTGACAAGGCGGCCATGTTGGGGTCAAACCAATAGAATTTTTTTTCGCGAAGAATTCACATGAAAATAGAGTTTAGTTCCCAAAGAAGAGAAATGCTTTTGTTCTTGACCACCAACATGGCCTGGTTTTCGAGCCTGCGCAAAAGCTATCCGGTATAGCGTGAACATAACCTTAGTATTTAGCAAATCAATGGATAGAAATTTTCGCACGTTTTGATTGAATTCCGCAACTCGAATTATTCTGGGCTATTCGCCTCCCCTTCGGAGGATAGCTGTATTGTATCATTTATTTTATCTCATTTTATAAATACAGTAGAACCTTGGTTACTCGAACTCTGAAGGGGAACGAAGAACAGTTCGAGTTATCGGGATGTGAGAGTTTACTGATATTTCAGCAATTTAGTATATAGTAGAGTGCGAATAAGGGCCTGTTTACATGGAGGTGGGGAACCCCAGGTAGGTGAGGTAACCCGCCTCTCCACATAATCTCTTATTTTAATTTGATCACGTTTACATGATAGGTGGGGCGACCCGCCACATGTTACCTCACCTATCTGGGGTCCCCCACCTCCATGTAAACAGGCCCTAAGACGTACATCATCAGAAAGTGTGACACGACTATGCATTTTTATGATAATAATGGGAAATGACTGTCAAATAGGTGATCTGTTCGTTGTACTTAAGCTTATTGAAAACAAGTGCAAATTGCTGTACTGTTAGTTTTAGTTTTTTGCAACGTACACACCAAGAAGAGCTAATGGGATAACATACGTGGTGAGTTTTCGAGTTATCGAGGTAAATTTGATCAAGGGAAATGAAACTTAGCTCGAGTTTGCGCGGAATTCGAGTTGTCCGAATAAAAATGACTGAAAGGTAGGGTCAAATCCAAGGGAAATGGGACTTAGTTCGAGTTAGCTGGGAGTTCGAGTTATCCGAGTCCCAGTTACCGGGTTCTACTGTACAGACAAAACTGTTCCAAAACTCATCGCCAATGTTCTTCCTCGTTCGATCTTTTGAATGCTGACGAATTCCTTAAGTTGAAATTTTAAAGACCGTATCCAAGTTCAACAAAAAAGGGAGTCCTTTTTTTTGTTTTCTTGTCTTTCTCTTTAAAACTTTACATGTCATAGTCGTGCGATGAACGCAAAGAAATGTACCGAGAAGTGTGATGCACGTGCAGAGCTGTTGTTTTGCTTGTTGTTTGACACATCGCATTTTTCGACGTCCTATCTTCCTTCGTCATCGTGGTAGCTTTGATTAAGCTCCCATATGATAAAATAATAGGTTTAAGACTCAAAAATATATTATCAGAGTGTTTAAAAAGCCAAGTTAAAACACCCGAGACAAACTTTGAAAGAACTATGAGGCTAAAGAGATTTTCAAAATCATAGTGTAATCCTTGGTGATCTGCCTCAATTTAAGCCATGCGTGTCTTAAGTATATTTTCTGTGATAACGGAATGTCCCTTTACTGCTCAAACGGTAATTTTCATATTTCACCTAATTTGGAGGCCAATTCTTAATTTTTGAACTTGGCTTAACTATGTGACACAGCTTAAGAAAAATCTTGAAGAAAAAGTGTGGGACTTACTGATTGAGGTCTGCAGTATGGCCAGTCCGAGGACTTAAATTTCTCTTCCTTTTTACCTTTTAGACCTTGAAAAAGCACCTCTGGTCGTCCCAGTTCAATTCCGTCCCAACCTAGAAGGCGAGGACAACAAACTGACCGCAGAAGAGGAGCGTCTCTTGGAAATTGTCATGCATCGTTTGGCAGACCGCGTGCGTATTCGCCGCATTCAAATCTTCCCGCTCTTCGAGGACTACGACCGAGTACACAATGGTACTGTCTCTCAGTTCCAATTCCACCGCGTCCTTAGCGAGCTTGACCTAGGGAGCCTGGTGAGCGGGCGGGAATTCTTGGTGGTAAAGAAGAAATTTCTCGTTGTCCTTGGTTACAAGCACGACTTTAACTACATTGGGTTCTGTGACATGGTGAACGACTTTGCAAATTTTGAGTTTGGAAAGCCGTAGTGTCGATTTTAGACTGTTTTACTTTGTAATATGAGAAAAATACATATATTTTGTAATCTTTTTTTTTTTTTCTGTTGACATGTGAGGAGTATGTTAGTGTAAATAAAGAGTATTTTATTGAAAGAAACATGTCACTAAAAGGCTACTAAAAATAATTTTAAGTTTCCCTGTACTCTTTAACAAAGCTTAAATTTGACCATCGAGGAACCGATCGAGTTTTACTGGTTCCACTATCAGGAAGAGGAAAATGGCTTTGAATTTTCAATTACAGATGACATTTTAATAGTTATTTACGCATCCTTTCAGTGTTACGTTAAACGCCTGTGTCTTCATTGTCTATCATTTGACTTAAAATAAAAAGATATTTCACCGCAGAGTGTTTGTGGAAATATGTTTCTCAAACTTAGCAGTGATAATACGATAAGATTTAAAAAACATGCACCACCATTTGCCACCTTACAAACGAGAAGGAACTCTTGGCCGAGCTAACGTTTGAAGAGACTTCTGGGACTATAACTGGGGACAGGAAAAAATTGGCCAATAGCTGACTGGCGCGTCCCCAGTAGCGATCCCAGAAACCATTGCGGGACACATTTCGGTTCCAGTCTCCTGCTCGTTTCTAAAGTGGCGAATTTTTGATGGGGCGATCAAAGTTCATAATAAGAAACAAACTCCTTAGGCTCGATTTCCGCCGCTCTCTTTCGGGTCCTCCCCGGGTAGGATCTGTTCGGGGGAGAAACCCGAGTTTATCACGGCTCGATTATGAGCAGGTCAAAAAATTTAATCCCGTTCGCTTACTTAAGAAAAGAGAGGGAAACTGGGGCGAGTTAACTTTCGTTAACTTTGGTTCGAAAAGAAAGTGTTGGAGCGGCGCGAATGCCAAACCTGAGATAATTGGGACTGTTACTACGGACAGGAAAAAGCTGGCCGGCGCATCCCCGACTGCAGCAATCCCCGAAACAATAAAGTAAGATTCATATCGACTCCAATTCCCTCCTCGTTTCTAAAGTAGCAGTGAATTTCAAGAGGTGGGGAGGAAATTGAAAGTCTCTCTTTCCTGTCGGCCGGCGTTTTAGAACAGCAACCAAGTGACGTCATTAAATTCAAGATGGCGGGGCGAGGACATGTTTCTCGCATTTAACCTTCTTCAAAAGAAAAACAGAGTTTTATCCAGTTCCAAACAGAACATTCTCGGTGAGAAGGGTTGTTTTTCGGTCTGTCTGAGAGTCACTGACAATTCAATGTTTTTAGTATTTTGAACTTTATTTAATAAATAATTACAGTACCATCGTCCTTAAATTACATTTAGAGACTTTAAAATAACTGTAACAATAGTAGCATTTCTTTCATACAATGTTGGTTCTTGACAATTTAAACATATTTCTTAGAAAAGCCGGCCAAATGTTTTAAATGATTACAAGGCTTGTGCAACAAAATGTTCCATAGATAAAACAGGCTCGCCTTCTGACTGGCTCTCTACAAACCGTGCAAATATGTGAGAAATCATAGTTGTGATTTCGTGGTCAGTGTATGAGCTTACTTCCCCTGGGCTTATCTATGACGTAAAATAGATTACTTAAATTTCATCAAAGAGAGTTGAAGAATATGCACACGAATCAGGAGATTTGAAACCATGATGGCAAGGGCCGAGAGAAAACGTTACTTAAAAATATAACTCTCGTTCTTTTGATTTGTCTTCAAGTTGCCAAAAAATAAACTCGTAGTTGCAGCGAACGGAAGAGGAATGCACCAATCTGTAAAACGAACTTTCCAGCGTCTTGGTTTGCTTATCTAACTTTTCTTTCCGTTGTTGTTGTTCTCTCTTACTGTTGCCATCTTGTTATCTTAAATTAAATGCTCGTAACTTTGATGGACATTGAAATGAGAATGTCAACCAGACGACACCCAATGCACCTTATCCTGTCTTTGTGCAGTGGAATCTTGATATAATGAACCTCTATTTAACGATTTCCTCGGTATTACGAACGATTTTCTTTACCCATGGGATGATAAAATATGCGAAAAAGAACCTCGAGATAACGAAACTTCGTTATACCGAACAAATTTTGCCACTCCCTTGGCCCCTCGTTATACCGAGGTTCCACTGTATAAGGAAACATCTAGAAGAAATTTCTAACAACCTAGTCAATGCAAATTAGGGCCGGTCGAAGGAAGGATAAATAACAGACGAACGAAATAAACTTTGAAAGTCAATTGTACAGTTATCATACGACCTATTTAAGGAATAAATATTTTTTTATGCTTTATAATTAAATATAATCTTTTATGATTTAAGTTTTTCTCCATTTTAGAATCTAATAATACTAACAAGTAACAAAAGCAAAGTTTTACAACATCTTCCAAAGGACACTATATACAATTTCAAATGCTATTTGCAAGAAAAACGTAACGACCACAAAAAAGGGTCCGCAATACGATCATGTGTTAATTATTAATCAGGGAGTTATACTTTTTTTTCAATGGAGTGGTTACCCTGAATACCCAAGGAAGTTGAACAAGTGATAAAAGCCAACGGAATATTGGGTTAACTCATAGCTTCCTAAAATTTCCTTCTATCTGTGCTAACAAGTCAAGCAAGCGTCAGGAAAGATTTTAACAGTTTTTTTAAAAAATAGAAATAACCATTAGCCGTAAAACGGCTTACAAAAAACTTTAAACTCGTCAAACCGAAAAACTGACAAATTTTAACTGTTTGTCTTCCAACAACTGGTCACTTTAAAAGTGTCAGTGTCAGCTGTTAATTATTATTATTATTATTATTATTATTATTATTATTTTTATTATTATTATTATTATTATTATTATTGTTATTACAATTATTATTACTATTATTACTTTTGCCGTGGTAAGGGCATCAAGAAAGAATCTATTAACTTAAAAGTGTTAAGCACCCAAGTAAGAATTTTTTTCAAAAGGCAACGGAAAGAAATTTACCGTTAGTTCCATCCAAATTAAATATTATCCATCTACCGTAAAAGCCATCACTCAGCGAAGAGCATCGATTTCTGCTCTTACCGTGCAATGCCCTCTGGGTAATATACTACGGTTTTGCAATACTCTTGAATTTACAGCAATAACGTTTGTTCAAACAGCAAGGTTTTCAACCGAAATGATTTTTGCTATGTTTTCAATATTTCTCCCTCGTATACCATATTTTTTGCACGAACAATACACACGTTAAAAGCATATTTTTCTTATCTTAATGATTTTCTCACGAAAATGCTTTTCATGACTGGATACGATTGATTGATTAATTACCCATATCACACTACTATTAACAACCATTAATTCTATAAAGAAAGATTTTTTTGTGGTCACCCACTATGTTTCGCTTTGCTTTGCTTTACGACTGTAAACTGATTTACAAATTATCCAGTATTTAAGTTTCAAATTATCTGGTAATTTGGGGGGGAAAGGATCTAATCTCCTGCTCTTGTCAATGTCATCATCGCAAAAATTGTTCTATTTAAATTGCTTCTGTATCGCTCGTTCATCTCACATCCACTGAAATCTTGGCATGTTCAGACTGGAGAAGGTCACCGGCCGATGGAATGCGGACCCAGGTCGTTCAATGCCGTAAAGTAGTCCCTTTTGTCCGGGTCTTAAATGTGAGAAATTCGCCATACTTTCTTGAACGACTGGAGAAAAAAAACAGAACTGTTAGCTCCGGGATTAGTTGTGGCTATGATTTTCAGTGTCACCATTTTGCGCGTGCTCAAAGCAAAGCAATTTACGTCACCCACCTGATTTCGGCCAATGATCAGACTGATAGTGACACCACGTGACCACCACCTCGCTCATTCTTTGAAGGGTAACCTTCTTAGGATCACCGGAAAAGTCGAGTCCTGATAAAATTAAAGAAAATAAATTCTTAGGTTTTATGACAAAACGCAAGTTAAAAACAATTAATTTTACTTTGTCTTCCACTTCATTGAGTCTATAGTCCATTTTCACAATGACGACATTTGACTACAACTTCCAGAATTCATTTTGATTTTTCTTCCCAAAGCTTACTTAAATTTGTCAATCTCGTTGGAGTTTAATAAAAAGGAGCTCTAATTTGTAAAAGAAAACAACACCTGAAGGATTCTGGTAGTTGAAGTAAAATGACGTCATCGTGTAATTATCCTTTTGTAGCAGGAGAGCAAATTTTTATTATAAGAAATTTTGATTTTTTCGCATTTCAATAAAGCAGCAAAATTTTTCTTTATAGTTGCTTGAAACCAATTCCTTGGCCCAGAAAACCCCTTCATATCATAAGCCAACTGATGTATGCCTCTAAGCAAAGTGTGACAACATCAGCGAAACTCCAGTAGCCTAAGGGCCTCTTCATATGAGCCCGGTTGACCGGGCTGGCTCGGTTACCGGGATGAATTTTGCCTTGGGTTCATATGAGAAATTTTAGCCCGGTTTCCGAGATGAGAAAAGGTCAAAGATCCTGGGTACGAGTTCTGGCGCCAAATTTGGGAAACAAAGCAAACATAGCGAAACACAAAAATTTTAACTTTCGGGCCTATCTTAGCATCGGTAACTCTTAAAGTTGTATCACTGCAGTTAAATGGGATGCTTATGATGTGGAAAACACAGCAGGCAATGCAAGACGATGCCATCCGGACCGCCAGAATTCATTCCGCCGTTCATCCCGGTAACCGGGATGAAGTGTTCATATGGCAAAATTTTCAGCCCGCTTACCGAGATCTCGGTTGGAAAAACCGAGATCTCGGGAACCGAGCCAGCCCGCCCTCTCATATGAACACATCGAAAATTTTCCAAAGGATTTAGAGGTGAGGCGAGATCTCGGAAACCGGGCCAGCCCGGTCAACCGGGCTCATATGAAGAGGCCCTAACTAAGGTCCATCACCAAACTACTCTGAAAAAGCACATGGAGAATCAAATAATTACATTTATCAGTTGTGTAATCATTTTAAAATTAAAATCTTTTTCAGCTTCTCACCTGCTTTTCTTCTTTGCCATTGTTCAGATTTTTCTCTGTCTCCAACAAGTTCACCAGCTACAGAAAACACTTTAGGAGCGACAATGTTACTTCCCCAAAAGTTCCAGAATTCTCGAATGACGGAACCAAAAATACCCCCTGTGATAAAATGAAAACAAAGAAGTCGGTGAGCATTTCAAGAATCCTTTTCTTTTTTTCTGGGAGACAACGTCAGTACAAACAAAATTTGGTATTTTCGCTCGTAGGATTACTAAGCATATTGTAAATCGTTTGAAGTCGATGTCATACTAAGTAGGTGGAATATAATCGTCTGGGTTAGTGTAATCCTTAATAGGATTATGACAGTGACTGACGTTTCGCGGAACTGTGCAGAGAGCTATTATCAGAATCAAAATGAGCTGTGATCGCCAATTGATGTTATTTACTCTACTTGTTGACCTGGTTGAAGAATATTAAAAGTTTTGATGTTATTGGCACAGACTCTAATAAACGCGGAGAGGTATGCATTTTGTCGAAAGAATCTTAGGCGTTGGCCAGGCTATGTAAATTTTACTACGGTTATTTTTAGAGGTTGTCATTAAACGGAAGTCTAATTCCTGAGCCGTCCGCACATTTATATCAATTTTTTTGAAACGTCATCAAGTCCACGCGCTAATGCCTCAAAGCAAACAATGCAGAATATTGTAATGGCATATGTTTAATTCTGTCTTTACAACACCTCTCGCAATCAACTTCCGTTTAATTTCAATCATTTAATTGCTCTAAAAATAACTTTGGTGAAATTCACATATCCTAAGGGCTAGACTCTATTCCATTAATCTCTCCTGCTTTTGTATAGCAAAACATATCATTTTCAAAAAAAAATTCATTTAAAAATTTTCTTACCAGAGAGCATACAATCCGTGCTCACATATTCCTGAGTGCTGCACTTCTTCCCCATTAGCCTTTGCGTCATGTCTCGGAACTTCATTGTAAGTACGGGATCCTGAAGTCTGGAGATGATTTCCCGTTTGCAGAGCTCAAAGTGCATGTCATAACTCTGAAGACTGCTGGTTATCTTTTCTCGGAGCATCTTGTACAAAGAACTTACGCTTTTGTACTGGAACACTTTAAGCAGTGTCTGTACTTGGGAATTGATGATCATGTTCACTATCGCCTCCGTCACCATTTGGGACTGGTCAGCGGGAAAGTCGTGAATAACCATCTGCCACTGCGGTCGAGGAAAGGAAACAATTAGACACAAGGGGTGCGTAATGTTTTTACAAAAATTACCCGGGCAGTGGAAATCTTGTGCATAAACATAAAAAATTACAAATTTAACGAGGTGGGAGAACAACCCGCTACAAGGTCTATCCAAATCAGCTGAACAGATTAAAATAAGCAGAAAAATTGCATCCGACCTCAAATCACAGCCCATGTTTTCTGAAGCTTCCCTGATGGAATAACGCGAACCATGTGATTTTCCAACCTGAATTTCCGGTTTTCCAATGTAAATGGTAAGTGCCCTTTTTCAAAATGTTTCCATTGTATCTTTTCCAGGGTAGGAAATGAAAGCCGTTTCTTTTGGACTTTTTTTTAACACTCAGCAGCAATAATTGTAAATTTTGTACTATTTTATTTTCCCCTACATATAAGTTTTGATTCCTTTCCAAACGAGCCATTATCCACTGCCGACAGTTAAGTGGCTTTCACAAAAATTGATCTTTCAGACAGTTTCTATCTCTACTTTTTGGTACCTTTAAATCAAATATATGTTTTCAGTTTTATTCTTCATTTAATTTGTTTTACTCAGAATGAAGGTTCAAGAAACTTTTGATGCTTTACCTTAGGCGAAAAGAAATCCTCCTGAGGAGTAGAACACAGGCGAGCCAATGTTTTCATATGATGAATTTGCCCTTCCTTTGATCCTTGTCTGTAAAGCGTCGCCATAACAACAGGCCACCCCATAACGTTACGAGAAATCATCCGGGTTTCTAACAAATTAAATCCGGTAACAACGTCTTTGAAAGTCTGGCAAAGTAAGTATAATTTCCCGTACGTGATGGTATTTTGATCATGTGACAGTGCCCTTTGGAAGAGAGTCTCTGACTCGGGCAACGTTAAGCAAATATACTGATCTTCTTCATCCAATGAATAGCCCCTTAGTAAACCTACGGAAAGCGAAGCAGGAAAATGGGTAACACTAGCGTCTTTTTCCAATAAATTGTCGTTCTCGGCATGTGGTCGCTTTCTAGACTTGTATTTCTTTCCGTCAGTCGATGAAGAAGAACTCTGTGAAGAAAAAAATCGGAAAAAACGCTGTTATAAGTATTTTTGTCTCATTGCGAGACCAGGAAATCTAATGGCAGAATCATTCTGTTAAATCTTTAAATTAACCAATTTTGGGGCAATGTGAATATTTTTAGATTTCTTTTCGGGTGCACTCGACTATCACATGATAGTGCACGTGATTATCTTCAGGTGAGCACGTGATTGTTTCCCGGCAGCGCGAGCGACAGCCCCATGACAGTGTACTCTTAACTACAAGTTACAACAGTAACTTGTTGTGCAACAGACTTGCTTTATTACCTCCCGTTTTTCTGCCTTTTCCTCTGTGTTTTCCTCTTGTTCGTTGTTTTGTTTCGCGTTCTGTTTGTTGTTCGAGTTTCTATCTGGTGTTGCTCTTCTTGCTTGAGGTCTGAAGTGATCGTGCGTTCCTTTAGATTCAAAATAAATCCCATCCTCTTGATGAACCCAGAAATGAGTCACAGGGTACCCATTGTTTCCTAAAGGAAAAAAGGAATTCAATTAAAAGACGTTGTGTAGTATACCTTCAACGGCGTTCTCAAAGGTTGCTAGGTAACGCTGTCAAATGTCAGTGCTAGATTTTATCAAAGAAATACCTGAGAAAACGTGGTAAATAGAGGGCCGAAATGAAGGCAAAAACAGTTCCGTCAAACTAGGAAGTATTAAACATTTATTTTCACGTAACATTGATTATTTTTATGATTACCTGTGCACTTTCTGTGAACTAGTTTTCCAGCACATGCGGCGTTGGGGCAGTTTTGACCCATTTGTCTTTCTCGAACTGCAAAGAATGAATTAAAAAGGTTTATCACAATCATTACACTTGAGTGAACGATTCGCCATCGCGAAATAAGGGGTTCAGTGAGAAGATGATGTTGAAAGGCGGTCACTTTTCAACGCGTCAGTAAGGTAAAGAGAAGCCTGGCTGTTAGTCAGTTTAGGCAATGGCATATGAAGGCACCATAACAAAAAAATTATGGCAAATAAAAGGGCAATTTGTTTAAAATATCCAGGTAAATACAAGCCATGTGAAACTAAAACTGAACAGGTTTTATTTAAAAGGTAAAAACATAGAATTTTGCCCAGAAACTTAAAAATTAGAAATACCGATTACACTGATATTTCCACAACTGACAGCAATGAAAAAGAGGTTCAGTTAGAACCTGCGTGATTTCGTTTCAACAAAGCTCACCTTTATCAGAAATAGCGGGTCTAACGACAATCTTGAGTCCATTTGGTAGAGTACAATCCTTACTGCAAAGCAGTACACCGACACAGGTCTTCTTAAGCACAAATTTGTTGTGATTGTTTGTGTATTTCATGGCCCACCCAGAGATGTGTGCCTGTGCCTCTCGGCTGTACGGTGAGTAACGGAGTTTTGTAGATCCGTCAATCCATTCTTCGAATTCGTCATATTCCTTGATCGCCTTTTAAGAGCAAAATACATCAGTATGAGATGTGAGAATTGTAATGGTCGTATGTGCGATTTCCTTCAGTTTAAAGTGACAGGATCTTAGGAATTCTTCTAAGTCTTCGGGAAAATCACTTATTCCGCTTAAGAGGGAGCAAGAGTGGCGTATGCAGTGGTGAAAGCACTCGCCTTTCACGAATGTGGCTCGGGTTCAGATCCTAGCTTCGACGCCATAAACTGAGGTTGAGTTTGTTGTTGGTTCTCTCCTTTGCTCTGAGAGGCTTTTCTCCAGGTTCTCCGTTTTTCCCCTCTCCTCATAAACCAACATTTCCAAATTCGAATTCGATCTGGAATGCACAGATACGTTTATACGAGTTCTTACGTGCTTACAATTACTTGTATGAAGGTTTTATAGCTGGTCAAAAAGGGAGATAACATTTTATTTATCAACATGTTAAAAGAGTATTCCCATAAGGATATGACACTGTCAAAGTTGAAATCGTCTACCAATCTTGTTCAAACAACGCAGTCCCTGTAATCAGATTTGTTTTAGTGAGGTTCTAGTGTCCAACTGCGTCATATTTCTTACTTATTTCCACATTACTAAACGGGATCATGTTTACTCTTTAAGAAGACTATACTGGTACCGAGTCTTTAAGTTACAATGCGCGGCTGCCTCACCTGTAAAATGCCTGCCTCAGCTTCAGTGGCATGGAACGCTCTTTGTCGATCATGGACCATTGAATCAGGGCCTAAAAGGTAGTGATACGCGAACGCCCCTGGTACCGGATAGTGTATGGGTGCTTCAGGATACCAAAGAGTGGACCTAAGGAGCAGAAATAAACAAATTTTGCCTGCGTTACACTCCGCACAGCAAAATACAGAGAATACAGACCTTGAATGACTGAAATTACTTGTCTGAGGCTACGGTTCCATATTTTTAGGTCAAAACTAAGCTAAAATTATAACTAAGTATATTCCGTCACCTTTTTAAACAAGGAGATCTCCAAGAAAGATATAAAGTGGTTCTCGTAGAGGGAAAAAGAGCATGATCAGCTTTTTTTGTAATTTTTTAACAGTACATGAAAAGGTTAACCCAATTTGTTTCAACTTGTGATCCTTCTCCATCCTGGCAATGATATTCAAAGACACGGACATATAGTTTAGGAAGTAATTTTTATCAAAACTTAAGCACTATCTATTTATTTCAATACAGCAAGCAGATCAGTCCTGGAGTCGTGTGGACATAAGGTTGCTCTCTTCAACGAGGTGTTAATTCGAGAAACAAGAATCGAAAAGAAATACAAATTTACAAGATTTTTGTTAGACTAAATACAGCACACATGGGGAAAATGGTTTCTACTTACGATAATTTAAACTTCTTGTGAGGAATATGACACAAGTTACCAGTAATAGTTCCCATCTGAACTGGAAATCTAAAAATATATTAACAGTAAGAGAGATAAATAATTTCATCTTTATTTCTCTAGCCTAGAACTAATCGCTAAAAATAAAAGGTTTAAAAGGTGTAAAACGTTATGTTCCTTGCTATAATCTATGCCGAATTCTGAAGTAGCGTGGCTTCATATCTTAGAAAACAGCAAAATTTTATTTTTGACTCTGAAGTTTAGAGAAAAACATTTCGGAACTTTTTTAATTTTAAAAAATGCATGGGATATTTGGCCCCCAATTACAACGATATTTACACTGCTTGATTAAGTCACGATATTCAAAATAACTATTCACGAATTCACCCACCCACCGGAAAATAATAGCACGTATTTGTTATTGCATCGCCAGGCGGAGCAGGCAGGCTACACGTATTGTGCAAAATCTTTAAATTTTACCCTCCAAGAGAAATATAAAAATTATTTCTTCACATTCAACTCGTATTTTTTTTTAAGATTATGTTTTGTAGTGCAGTAACTATCACACTTAAAAAATAAAATTTAAACCATTTTGTCGCCCCGTGATCACCAGTCGCCTGACAAACTAATGTAAGCTTTCGAGACAAGAAGGCCAGTTAATTTCAGAAAGTAACAATTTCTCACACAATTTTTCACTCATGGACATTTTGAATAAAATTGTAATTTATAAATGACAACGGTCTCCTTTTTAAGATACCCGAACCGCCGAAAATTGACGAATTTGTATTTAAACAAAGTTTTAAGTTGAATTAAAATGTTATTAAATGAATTGAAAGTTGTTGTAATACTTTGTGAGAATATAAACTCTTGTTTTGCTAGCTCTAAAAAAATCATGAATTAAAGTAAAATGTTGCCATTTGGTAAAATAATAAGGGCCTTTTGCGTTTTTCTTTTAATGTTAATTGACTTTTTTTGTAAAGTACTTGAATTAAAACTCGCTCTTAATGTAGTCTTCTTTCGTTTCTGTGCTCGTGCCAACGGCCAAATAATTTGAATATATGAGAAGTAATATCCCAGTTTTAGTTTTCGAAGGTCGGAAAACAAATAGTACAATTGAAAATATAAGCAAAGGGCTGGGTCACACTATAATAGAATCTCTGCCCAAAGACTGCATAGTTTACTAAATAAATAGCACCATATGAAAGTACTGATGAAGAGGTTTCATTTAAGTGGCCATACCATAGGATTTCACCCACAAACTCAAACGTTAGAACTAAATACTAAACAAACAGCATCAAATGAAAGTACCGCTAAAGCCGAGGTTTCATTTGAATGGTCTCACTTAGTATTTCTTCCAAGGACTAGCTGTCGTATGATCTCGTATTCACTGGAATCGAAAAAGGTTTCAGCTCTCTCTTTCCATACTCATCTTGAATCACCCACTTTATAGTAAACCATGCAATGAACAAATTTTTCTCTTTACTATCAAAAATCTTTTATTAGCGTATTGAATTGCAAAACCGTTTCCTCTCGAATTGAACTCTCGTTCTTAACTTCTTTGTATCCGTCACGAAGCTTTTCACTCCAGTATACTTCTAAAGGAATTACTTATTAAACCGCATTTAATCGAGGTTCGAATATTTACCCGTCTGTAGTAATGGATGCCAAAGCGCGGTTAAACTTTGCAATTATCTCTCCGTCTTCTGTAGATGAAGAAAAGGGAACATGACAAGCATTAGAAGGTAGAAGAACATCGAGAGATATGAGATCAACGAAGAATTTGGGATCCATCAAAACGTCAAGCCCGAGTGAGTACAACAAAAGTTACACTTACGCTATACTTGAAATACTTGAAAGTTTCTTTCCTGAAAGTTTCTGTCCTTGCCAATTGCAAACCAGAATTCATTCGCACAGTCGATAGCAATTAAGAACTTTAAAAAATCCGCTCCGTGGCCTTAGCTATTGGAAAATGTTGCTTAAGGGCTTTATTTCAGTAAATAGTTGTACTAAGAATATCTTTCACAAGTACAGCGTACTTCAACAATACAAATACTTAAATGAAACTGTTAACCTGTAAGTGAATTTGATCACAAAACTGCAAAACTGGCCGAAGATCTAAATGATTATAAAAAGAGTACTTTTTCCTATTCACTTTTTTCAAACGAGAGAGGGTAGATAGTATACTTGTTAGCTTTTTGAAGCTACATCGTGTCTCGCAAATACTTACGATTTTCGGGTCTTCTCTCTTCAGTTTCCTCTGTCTTTAATGATTCCAAACTCATTACGTTTCACGCGCCCCGTAATTCTCCCTTTATCTTTCGGCAGTTCCTTAAACAAGGAACAGAGAGGGAAAAAAATTGAAAAGCAATGCAATTAAATGCATTCGACCTGTTAAGAGAGGGTGTTAAAACGTTGCTTGTTCTCTTGGAGGTGAGCTAAAATGTCCCGGCTTTTAAGTACACAAAAGTAATTAGAATGTTATCAAAAGTCCATCTTCAAAGGGTTTAACGCAGAGGTTTTATCTCAAGCCATTTTATTTGGCAATCTGCTGTTACAATCGACTAATCGCAGTGGTTATATATTTTATAAGAAACGTTAGGGGTTTGAAGAGTTCGCGCCAGAGTAGACGACGAAAGACAAGGTTGATATTCTTGGTAACATTTTTGCGGAAGCAAGGTAAATACATTTCAAAGAGTACGGCAATCAGTTCAAGCGCAATTAAGATAGAGAATTTTTCTTTGTTTTCAAAAATTTTTTGTTGCAGGACCCCGCGCTTCTCGCCTTTTGATAGGGGGAAAATCAGACGCTCTGAGGGAAGCCGGTCTATTAGAACATACCGTCCATTAATAGCATTCAGAATGCAAAATGGCCCGTAAAAATAACATCAAGAAAAGAAAAAGAGCTCATTAATATCACATCATATAAAAAACGAGGTTACTTTAATGGGAAAAGCTGACCCGCCAAATAATAATAAAAAAACATCAATTTTAGTTTCTTCTTCATTTAGAAACCAGCTGCAATTTTGGGGCATTGACTATCTGCACGAACATTTTTAACATTTCCAGTCCATATCAAGTTAACTGTGAGTTGTTTACCTCAACTTCTAATTCTTCGCGTAATCTTGTCATTTTATAGTTCCGGCAACTGAAAAAAATTATCTTGGCTTTTTCTTATGCATCAAGCAGCTTTAATTTGTGTCTTTTTCCGTTTTTTGGCTTCAAACAAAAGCGCAAGAAAGTGTATTATTCATAAATGATTTGACGCTCGTCCAAATGCAAAACTTAACCCTCCGCTAAGAATTAATCGAGCTGGTCCAGTACAGAAATTATTTTTAAAAAAAGATCCATGTAGATCGACTCACAAATATCTTCCAAGCTGGACTTTATTGAGTTAAAATGAACGATTAGAAACCTGCTTTAAGGTTAACATGAAAGTTTAGTTATTTAAGTGAAAAAGTGCATTTGTATCATAACTCAGTCGTGCACTCAGTTTTCAAGTTTCTATTCAATAACTGATTTTGTTCCGATCGTTCTCGGGGGACTGTACTCAGAAACTTATGATTGTACTTAAAATGAGCAGAATGAGAAAAGGAAAACATCGCACTTCAGTCAAATTAAGGAGAAAAATGGATTTTTGAGAGTCAAAACTATTAACGGATAAAGCTCGCAGATAAATTTCGCGCGGTACGTTTTCAGTTTCATCATTCACCCGTAGAGTCAACATAACATGTAACAACCCAAGAAACAAAGTTCTAACTTTTCAGTCTGCTATAAAATCTTTTGACCTGACCAATCAAGTGCAAACCTTATTTCGGTATTACTTTTACAACACGCTAGTTGTCTTTTTTTTTTTTAAACAATATGTGCAATTTTCTTGAAATTTGCTTCTTAGACGCTCTTGGGTTTTTCACTACTTACCATTGAAACTTTATTCAGAAAAAAACAGTGAGTCCTTGAAACGAACTGAAGGGCACTAGCAGAAATTACTTGTTAACGAGAGATAAATTTCCTTCTAATGTCAGATGATTTCAAGAGGTTCCAAACCCATTTCCCAGCGGGTTTTTGAGAAAACAAACGAGGCAAAATAAACCGGACAATATTACACCGATCAGTTAATAACAAGAAAAAAAAAATCCCTGCTTCCCCTTTCGGCATAAATCAGTTTTGGACATTTTCTCTCGCAGCGGGGTCAAAATGATCAATAATGTCTGGCGGTGCAGGAAGAAAATAACGCGTAAATATAGTAATCTGTTACTTCACTTTATATGTAATTTTGCCCGCTCGCCAGTAAGCATTTGGTTCGTTCTCAAATTTGCTGCCCCCGATAAATCAAACTTTGCGAAGTTTTACGGTTAATTACTTACCTGTGGGGTGTTAGCAGATTAGTAAATTAGTCGTTTTGTGATCAAGCATATTCGAACAGAAAAAAGTACGAAACTTACCGGCAATACTTCCAATGAAGAAATTGCGACTTGAATTTTTTTTTTTGTGAAAGCGGATTTCAAGTGCCTTGTTTAAGATGCGTACTCTTTGGCTGGAAACTGTGAAATGGCGAGTTTTAAAAGTGCTTGATTATCAATTCCGCGCATTGGTTAAACTTTCACAATACTGGGAATTTTGCTGGGAACACCATATGTGCCCGCGATTCACCTGTTCCGAGTCTAAACAGTGAACAATCGAGGGGTTGTCACAGGTCACGTGACGCGCTGAAGTATCGAAAAATGACAGATTTCATATTTACTGAGATGTTGGTCAAGATAAATAATGATACAAGCTACATATTGGCCTTTAATAAGCTCATCTTGGCTCTGAAGGTGTTTGCAAAATTCAAGAGATATCCCGCTCTCGGGGAAGAGTGAAAAATGTTTGTGTCTTGAAAACTGTCGAGCGTTGAACGCGAAGCGAGGGTGCCGGCCGCAGTGAAAAGGGAAGGAAAAAAAACAGCGGCTAACATGGAATCGTTAACAAACTTGGAATGGACAAATGGGAAATCAATTATTAGCTGAGAACGGAACAGATGCAAGATTTCACTAATACAAAGGCAGTTATAGTTGGTAATGGGCATTTAATCACGCGCTATTTGCGCGGCAGTTTATTAATTCAAACACGGGTACAAAGCAACACTTGCGAAAAAGGGTCTTTTGCAGGGGTAATTTTCGCCGGTTGTTTCACGGTCTAAAATAACCATAACAACACAAGGCGAAGCGTTATGAAAACATATCCGAAAGAAAATTCAATGCGGAACGCGCGCGGTACGGTTGAAAGGAAAGATATGTTTATGCAAGATTTAGACATGCTATATGAGTAAGACTTGTGGCCGATTAATTGTGAATCTTTAGAGATAGCGCGCTCGGTGGCAACTCAAAATCTTAAAGATAACGTCAGAGTCCTAAAAGGGTATTTTGTTATTGTTTCGCCACACAGACAAAATCTGAGTATCCTTTTTAATGATTCATTACACCCAGGGAAGGAAATAAATCATATGCTTGCTTTGCGAGCAATTGAGTTAATGCTTATGTGTGAGTTTTATTTCACCTCTGCAGTTTCTGAAATCCCTTTTGATCCTCGACGAGAAAAGCGTCCAAACGGTTTCATGTCGCTAGGATATGGACGGTTTTTACGGCGGATTATTTCTTGCCTTGTAAAAGAAAATTAATTACGAATGCAGATAAGAGGGCTACAATGATAACATTGTGAGGCCAGTAAGACACGGTTTCCGTAACGGGTTATGAATTGAATAAATGATTTTGATATCGTCAAGATTTAAGATTATCTTTCATAGTCAGTTACTTGGATATTCATGTTTCGTTTTTTAACACAGAAGGAAATGTTCCAAAACCAGCTTGTCTTTCTCACCGCCGTAGTTTGCGCTTCTCAAACAATTTGAATAATTTTGTAATCCAGTTTTCTCTTTATTTGCTTGCCGCGCTGAAAGTTTAAGACCAGTTTGCACTGACTAAAAAGTGTAGCTTCAAAGTTTACAGTTTGAATCCAAGGCGCGGGCGACAGTATTGCTTTGGGGCCAGTAACAAAAAGACAAAATCAGTTCGTTTTGCAAGCGGCGAGTGTTTTTGAAACATCCGGCATTTGTGAAATCCGTGCATCCGAAACGAGACAAATGCACGTAAAATTCATGCACATATTTAAGCATAATTTTGTCTAGCTCAATTACCTTGACATCAAAGGGTTTTGGTAAAACAATTATTGCGATGTTATGAAAAAAAAAACATCACAACTTTCCAACTGGTCGTGTGAAGATTTTTGAAGAAAAAAACAGCAACAGCAACGAGGAAGTACTCGTCATTGCATTTTCATTACTTATCTGAAATTTTTGTCACAAGTAAAAAAAAGTCTAAATTCGTTTTCGTGTGTTTCATACAAAAACAGACGCTTTATTTTTAACGTCAAACCTACAAGACGATAACAGTTTTGGGGATTTTGCTAAACCAGCTAATTAACATAATGTTAACAAAATATACTCCCTTTTTAACCAGAAAACTAAACTTTTTCACAAAACACACAACTGCACTGTATTTGTTACAGTGAGCACAAAATGTTTAGTGGTCTTGGCCGATTCGTTCGGGGACCGATCCATTTAACCGAAGCAAATAGTAGTGGCTTGTTTTTGGGTGAGAGTATTGTTTTAAGACACTTACACGAAAACTCCGTTTTGCATATAAGCGAAACATTGTTTCAATCAACAATTAACACCTCTATAGCCCTGTTGCTCAAGGTAGCTTTTAAAAGGATTGGCTCTGCCCGACCGCACTTTAAAATTCATCGGAAATAAAAAGGCAAAGCTCCGGCTTTATTACACTTCTTTCCCGCGCAAGATGGATTATTTATAAATAAATTCATCGTTATGCTTAATACTCCTACTTAAGCTAATAAATGTTTATGAGGTGACTTTCTGAGCTTTCGTTTCTTCCGAGTGTCGAGTTTCATAATTAAAAGTACGCTACAGATAAAAAAGTAAAACTTTAAAGTGTTTTTAGCGTGAACAAAGGTAAAGATAAGTTTGACTTCGCCTTTCTTTTAGTCATAGCTGTAATTTTAAAGTGTAAGTGGTTTTTCAACTTTAAAAGCTTCCTACCCATCTTTTTCATCGCGGAAAAAAGTATATTTTAATGCGACACATAGCATGTATAACTTTATAAAACCCCAAAGGAGCAAGCCCACTGGACTTCTATAACGGTTAGGTTGGAAGAGTTTTAACTGAAACGCGATTTTCTAGTGCCCTATTTCTAGCTGATTTTCTGTGCAATAAGTTTAATCGCACAAGA